TGTATGATCTCTGTTGCTGGATCCACATGTAAGGCTTTATTAATTTAACCTGAAACACTGAATGCAATGTTGACTTTCACTCTCAGAAGTCTGCAGTGTAACTTTTGGTTATGGAAATTCTGCTGTTGCAAGCATTTTATTCGAGTCAGCAAAGCTACACACACACACACACACACACACACACACACATATATATATATATATATATGCATGCATGCTACAGTCATGCCACTCCCCCTATCAGGGATTCAAACCACAGATGTTGAGGTTGTGTGGGTTGTGTGGTTTTATAGCTTTTAACGTGAAAACAGGCATTAACTACAGTAACCTCACTGACTCATCTAAACAGATGACTGCCTATTTAATGGAGTGAGATCATCCCAACCAAAAAGTCAAATTCCTTAAACTTTATTCAAGTGAACAACATCAGGGTTACTTTTGTTCAAACTTCTGTTGCTGTGAAGCAAAAAAGGAGAAGCCGTTACAGTCTGGATGACTGTGCCAGATGTTTTATTATATTACCTCATAGTTCCTCTTGTTTCTCTCTCTTTCACTTCTCCGTCTGTCTTGTTGATCTTTGTCCTGATGGCATGGCAAAGTTAGGATGAGACTGAGTTCCTGCAGTCTGGCCACTTGTTACACGCATGGTCAAGATGGTCTATTTTTTTCTGCAAGAATAGTCACAAAGCCTCTTGTCTGTATTTGTAATCACCAAGATGAAAATGAGTCTTAGTAGCTAATGTTGGAGACTGTTGCATACAAACTGTTGAACATGCTCCTCATGGAAATAAGATCCCAAATGTTGCATGACAATGTTTTTGGTAGTAAATTGTAATTTCTTTGTGTTTGAACAAATGAACTGTAGTTGAACATACAGTATTTTAGCTTGTGACTCCTGCAGTGACATACACTATACCCGTTTTTGTCTTGGAATAAGGATCGAAAGGTCTTTATTTTAGCACAGCTGTACCTAAACATTCTGAGTTTAACTGAAAAAAATAAATAAATCCCATTTTCATGACTTCTTTCCTCTCATTGTTCTCCCCTTTTAAGGAGAACAAAGGATTTTTCAAATACCTCTATACAGACTGACCTCTTTGGGTTATCATATTGTAATGTTTTCACGTAAACATGTTAATTACCTGACCAAACCCATTTGAACTTTGGCCCTAATTACAAAAGAGAAAAACCAATTGGGCTGACAACAAAAAAAACAAGGCCCGAAGGGCAAATGTCATTAGGCCTATACGTGGGCAAGAGTGAACTCAGCCTGAAACTTGTTAGGCAGAAATATGTGATTTTTATCAAATGTAACAATAATAATTCACAGTCAATGCAACAACAAACCTTTAAAGCTTTTAAAGTAATGTAAATGCAGGAAAAATATGCACAATGTCCCATGACTGTCCTGTCCTGCTGCTAAACAAATATTTGGTGTTTAACAAGCAGGGGTAAGTAACTTCTTTCTACACCAAACTTCCTCTGACTTACACCAGTTTCAAAATCCTGGAAATTTTCAGAATACGATTGGTTGTGAAAGCCTTCAACATAAAACCCATGTTTTATTTTTTCCTCTGTCACATCTGTATAATTTAGATCTTTTGCTCAATATGTTCACTTTGTTCATTGGATTTATTACCTGTAATCCTTCTTTTGTACAGCGGGCATGTTGAGGGTTACCTAATGTGTCCCCGAGTCTGAACATGCTCATCATGTTGGGGTAACGCCTTCTGGCACTTACTGGATATTTGTTTTATTTTATGTCTGCACAAGAGAAAAAAAGATTTAGAAACTAGAAAGTGGAAAATACAAGGAGGTACATATTATATGCAAACAGTAAAACCACTCATACTATATTCAGTTGAATGTGAGAGCAGGATTGTCATGCAAATGTGCCATGTGTTTGAGGGGGTTGCATGTCTATGTGGGGTGAAAAGGTGAGGTGTCAATACTGTCTGTGTATTTAGATTGAAATGCATCTGTGAAAGGCTGCTTTACATCCTGGAGCCAAAACATGAGGATTTGTATTCAGGGAGCACATGGTGAAAACATCAAAGAAATCATGCAAAGTTGTGAACAGCCTCCTAAGTTATTCAAGCATCTGTAACAAACCAACAATGAGCACTAGAGGGGGGACTGGGGGGGACTATTTGCCAAATGGCAATACTGCAATAAAAAGGAAAAAATACAGGAAAATACAGGAAAACACACAAGGGATTTGCGAAATAAACACCAATGACACTATCGAAAACTTGTGTTTCTGCATGCTCACAAACGGTTTAATTATTTTGGCAACTGTTCAAAACAATGAGTAGGCTACTTAAGATCTTTTTGATACATTATGTAGGTTATGGCTTTATTTGTATTTCATTTTGCACTAATAATCTATACGTCAATAAGGGCATTAAATCTCTGACGGAGAAACTTTTACTCTTAAGTTTTTATTTTTTACTTCTTTAGATACTGCTTTTGCTAATAAATTTAAGAATAAAAACGTGAAAACTGAATAATGTGACGAATATTTGTCGTTGCGTTGAACGTGGAACTTTTACCCCGTTTGTTCTCGTGACAACCAGATTGCTCAATCCCCCCTCCAACAAAGCACACCGTTTAGGTTTCGGTGGCACGTTAGGCAGAAGAAAACATGATTATCTGCAGACAAATCAACATCATCATCACCATCGCGTGAGCGTGCCCGCGCGATCGCTCTCTGCGCAACACGGGCAGAGACAGCCTCCCAGGGCTATAAAAACCCCCAGTCACCAACTAAAGAGCACGGAGGAATCTCAACCTCACAGGTGAGTGAAATACGATAGAAAGAACGGAGAAACATGCTGTCCTCTTTTGTTTGATGCCAAGTCTTAGAAATTATGAAGTTTCACGTTAGTTACTGGCTGAGTATGTGTTAAACGTAAAACTCGCGTTGTTTTTTTTTTTGTTTTGTTTTGTTTTTTAAATTTCCAGTCTATATCGTAGTTTATAAAAACACAGTAAATAGTGTGGAAGATGCAAATGTAAATGTTATTGTATTGCTGATTTTCTGAGCGTTGCTTATGCTTTTCATAGGTGTATCTGACTGTCTAACAACCATGAAGGCTGTAGCCCTGATCCTTGCTCTGGCAGTCATCACTGGTAAGTGGACTTATGTGCTGGTTTAGTATTTATCAGTCACACTTTATTATATCTGAGTTACTTTATTTATCCATGCTTTCTATGTGTGCCCACTATAGGCTGCAATGGCCGTGCTGTTCGCCAGGCTGATGCCACTAAAAATCCATGGGAGGAAAGTGTGGATCGCTTCTGGGAGTACATTGCCAAGCTGGGCCAAAATGCTGATGGAGTTGTGGAGAACCTCAAGGCCTCTCAGCTCAGCAGGGAGTTAGAGTAAGTGAAGCTGAGCAATTAATCAGTACTTTCCTTTGTTTTTCCTTGCACTGAACAATGCATTGATTAGTGTTTCTTGTTCTTCTGCTTCTAGCACTCTGATCACTGACACCATGGCAGAGCTTGAAACATACAAAAATAACATTCAGACCAAGCTGGTTCCCTACACTGAGACCTCCACTGCCCAGCTTTCTCAAGACGTTCAGCTTCTGATCAACAGACTGCAGAAGGACATGCTGGATGCCAAAGAGCGCGGCACTGAGTATCACAGTGAGCTCCAGGCTATGGTGGACCATAACACTGGTGATCTCGAAAGCCGCATGAACAACTTCATCCATAAACTGCAGAAGCGCCTCAATAAGGACATTGAGGAGATTCGCAAGTAAGTTGGGCAGAAACTTTTAGAATTCTCTCTTGCGTTTAGAAATATAAACTTTAATCGAACCATTCCTTTCTTATTTTAGCACTGTGGCCACCTACATGGGTGAGATCCAGTCCCGTGCCTCCCAGAACCTGGATACAGTGAAGGAGCATGTTGAGCCCTATGTCCTGCAGGCCAATGACAACAGCAATAAGAAGCTGAGTGACATCACTGCTATGTTGCAGACACAGGCTGAGGGCCTGGGTCAGCAGCTAGAGACCCAGGCTGAGGGCATCAGGACCCAGCTGGAGGCCACTGCAGAGGAACTGCGCACCTCAGTTCAGGGGAAGATTGAAGAGATGACAGAATTGTTCTCCCCCTATGCCACCAAGATCCGTGAGCAGTTTGAGGAGATTGTAGACAAGATCAAGGAGTCAACCACTGCCTAAAGAGAGACTCTGAAAGTGGTAGATGGTTGGTGAAATGGCTACACTGCTGATTTCTTTACACCCAGGTAAAATGAGAAAAGGAGAAAGTTGCTGATGATCTTTACACTGAGTGTTCTAGTGTTCAGGATATGGGGGTTGAATAGAGAGACAAGGGAGGATAAGGTGCAGAACAGTCAACAGGTGTGTTCTTCCTTCTGCACAGTCACCCTTTCTTATTTTCTCATTGACTCCCTTAATCAGTGAACACAAGCACCACAGTCAATAACAACCTTTCTTATGCAAAAAGACAACAATTATTTGTAATATCCTTTGCTTTTCTACTATGAATTAACTGTTATATCCGTCTATTCCCACAAGTTTTGTATTCAATTTCTACATTTTGTTTGGTTATTACCGCAGAGTTTCAGCTTGAGCTTGAGATTTCATCCCGTTATCCTCCGATGCACATAACAACAATGTCTTTCATTTCAATAAATGCAGTGAACAACGATGAGTGCTATCTCGTTTCTTCTAGAAGTGATACCGAACCAACATAAAGGAGTCCTGTTTATTGTTGTTTCTGTGTTGCACTTCACAGAGAAATGGATCATAAAATTACTTGATGCAAATAATCAGTGAGTAAAATGTAACACCTGTATGTACTTCACAAGTGTGGTTAACATGTTGTATGCCCACCATGCTGCTCTCTGTAAGTGCACTTTCTTTAACTGCAGTGTGCTAAACAGTGCTGAGTAAATAAAGAACCTAGAAAAAATAGTTCCTTTCACTGTTTGTTTTTCTTATCAAACATTAATGAGCAATCTATTATTTAACTTTGGGTTCAGTTACACCTGATGAGTGGAAACAGCTGATGCTGTTGGTGACTATTTTAAATAATTACATTACTGCTTCATAATGTAGACGAGATGCAATTAATGCTTGGAAACTGGATTATTTTGCATAACGATGCTATGGCATTATAAAGTATAACATGTCTAACATCATCTATAAAAGAATAGCGGCCTTGATGGCTTTTACTAGTAAGATTATCAAGCCATTTAAAAAACGTAGCGCCCCTGTGCTGCTGTCACATTGTTACATTTGGCAGTGGTTACATAAGACCATGTGAGTATTTATATAATGGCTTATATAAAGCAGGGGTTAGCACTGTTGCCTCATGTTAAAAAGGTTCCGGGTTCAAAGACCAGCTGGGTCGTACTGTGTTGCTTTTCCTTGTGGTTAAGTTTCCTCTGGGTGCTTCAGTTTCCTCCCACGGTGCAAAAACAGGCTTATTAGGTTACTTGACTAATCTAAATTGCTCATTGGTGGAACGCATAAAACATGATGACTTATATGTCTCTACTTGTCCACTTTATGATTGACAGGTGACTTCTTCCCGGTGTATTTGCTTCTCACCCAGTGTTAAAAGGGATGGGTTCAGTTCCAAATCCCCCCACCTACATCCTCCATAGCAATCATAATGGATAAGTGCAATAACAAGAACATTTGAAATTAAACCCAGGCTCCCTGTCTGTTCCTCTACTCCACCATAAGCATCAGGATTTTTTTTGGTTTGCCTTCCTTGTTCAGCCACCCCCTTACATCCCTTAGTTTACCCTTTTCTAGTCCAAACTTGTTAAAATCTCCCTTGAAATTCCTTTCTCTTGATCCCAGCAGGCATTTGGGAACATTCTGTGCCACAGATTAAATTACCATTGAGGTGATGGTTATCTTGCCTAAAATTTATTTTATAAGTAAACCACCACCAATATAGAATAAGAGACTTTGACATATATAGAAAACTGCTTATTTTTCCCATCTTTCCCCTTATTTTGTCCAAAACATTTTTCAACTAGTGGTTTTAGTAGTGTAAGAGGATTTTAAGAACAAAATTATGTTTTTTAACTTCAGTTCAAAGGCACCATTCACAGGAAAAAAGGTGGCTTCAGCTGTCATACGCTGGAAATTGTCCTTTAAATGAAAAAGGGTAAAAATGGCTGTTTAAACACAGCATGATTTTCTCTTTGAAGTTTGAGCCCGAGGCCAGTAGGGGACACCATTTGTCCCCTGTTCAGATTTTCTTCTCCACTTGAATCCAGAAAACACAAAGATGCAGCTGTGTTTTCTTTTTTGGGAGAATAAGTAAACTATACGTGCCACATAAAGAAACATAAACGGTGCTTCGAGAGCACACATTTTTGAGGATTAAGTTTCTGCAGTCGAGACACAAAATGACTTTAGAAATTTCACATTATTTGATAAAAATACAAATTATTGTGAATACAACCTGAAATTAAAAGCAATACAAGAATAGTGAAACACAATAAAATGACTCTTGATGAGAAGTGTAAGATTTGTCCATGTTCCTGCCACACCAAACGGTTTTCTAATGGAAAAACTTTGATAACACTCTACTTTCCCTGACTTGCTGCTTTACTTTTTTTTTTTTTTTCAAAATAATCATCAGTTCTCTCTGATACAGAAAGTTATATCTATTTTATTGTATGTTTTTTTCCCTAAATTGACTAGATTTAATCAGTTTCTTTTCTCTTCAAAACATGTTTACCCTTTCTACCAGTGCTAAAGGGCATTGCATGTAAACTGAAGAGTGACTGATGATATGACTACGTGTTTATCCTCGGTGAAATCACTTCTTTCAGGAACCAGGGTTTATTTGGAACAGACAAGTGAAACTCCTACAGTACACAGTCAACTGTGTTAAAGGATCAGTCATCAGTGGTAAAAACAGGAAAACCACAAGCATCCTGCTACCTCAGCAATTCTGCTCTGTCTGCTGTACAATAGGGTGTCTGCACTGTAAGTGCTAAGAATTAAAGGAAAAGAAGAAGAAGGGGAAAAAAAACCCGCTATTTAGCAGGTGCTATCTAGCCCATGACTGCTAGTAACCCCAAAAACATCCCTGCAGAGATTTTACCTCCTTTTAAAACCCCCACTCTTCTCACCATCCTTTTCACCTTCTTCAGAGCTGGCACACAACATCAGTCACCACAGGGGCCTTGGCCAAACACAAAAACAGCCCTCCTGTAAGCTTGTTATTCCAAATTGTGAGCACACAAGACATGCACTTTCACGCCCTATGCCTCCTACAATTATTCAAGAGGAGTTTCTGTGCACGCAAGCTCAAGCTCATAAATAAGCCCACCAGCCACTCCATTACAAAAGAGATGGAGATGCTGAGGCATGTTAAGTCGTATTTAAGTCAATTAGACCAGTCATCATAGCAGTAACACCTTATAGGCCAAGTCATCAGCAACAAATGGACATTGGCCTTTTGCATCAGACTGCTTGCTGTGAAAACAAAATGTTAAGCAATAAGGTCTTTGAATTGGTAGATGCAGACTTCCTGGCTCTAACTCAGCTCATAATAGGGATTACTGCAGTTCATTCAACTGTACTGTTTTTCCGGTGCAAACTGACAAATTGGAGCATGTATAGTTTTATCCACTTACTCCTTTTATAAGCAAGGGGAGGTTTGTATAAGACAGATATGAAAAGAACTTTATCCGCTGCTTGTGACTTTCTAAAACCAAACAAATAACAAAAGATGTCATGTTACATCAATGTTAATGTTCATTAGGGTTGAGCTATTACGACACTATCTGTAGGAGTAGAGGTGGGAAAAAAAGTTGCTGAACAGTTATTTAATGATAGCAGTTAAGGTTTGCTCCAACCTCTAAAATATCATGTAAAATGCAAGAAAAGAAAGAAAAAAGAACATTTAAGAGAAAGTTTGTGTTAAAAATGTGCACCATGTATCAAAAGCAGGCAGATTTAACCAGTATTCATTGCAGTCTAGTCACCCCACATTAAAAAGTATTAAAGGCAAAGTGTTTGATACAATTAAAAATTTAGCCAGAGCTTCAGGTCCAAAGGAGGTTCCAAATGGTCAGTTGGTGATGATTATATCACTATTGAACTATTGTTCTTCTACATCATATCTCACCTTATCTACTAAGCTGCTGTTTCTGCCATGAATGCACATGTCTTCATATCCTTGTGATTTGATTTTTTCAAAAATATATATACACATACTTATATTGTCTTTATGCTTTTCAATGTCTCTCATGCTTTTTTTCTGAGTACTACTTGTAAATAATAATTACACATAATACATCACTTCATGACTGTAATCTAGAGTCTCTCTCTCTCTCTCTCTCTCTCTCTCTTCCTCGCTCTCTCTCTTTTATCACCGTGGTGGATATCACACAATCTTGCTGCATAATGAATTTGAGCACGTCTCTATCACAATCAACATATCTTGTTGCTGGTCAATGTGCTGGTCAATAAAAGGGGCAGAGACGACTCAAGGTCACCACTTGTACGTGTTGTCTGGTGTTTGCGTCACTCTCCTAAAACCAAGCGCTTATAAAGAGGGACGCACATAGGCTTTTAAAGGCATTTGATTTTTTTTCTCTTCTGAGACAAAAAACAGGTATGTATATTTTTTAAATTTATATTTATATATATATAGTATTTTATAGGACTAAAAAATAATCTTTTGAAAGTTTATTAAAGATTGCAGAGACATGCACTTTAGTAGACAAAGAGCATGAAATAATTCAAAACCTTTGTTTGTTTGTTTGTTTGTTTGTTTGTTT